TTCCATCATGAGGCTTTTGGAATTGTCTTAGATCATTGTCTTACTGAGAAGAGCTAGGTGCATCAAAGTTGGTCATCGCACAATGTTGTTGTTACTGTGTACAATGTTCTCCTGGTTCGCCTCAGTTCACTCAGCATCAGTCTTTCCAGGTTTTTCTGAAATCTGCCAGCTTATCACTTCTTATGGAACAATAGTATTCCATTCCCTTCATATGCCACAACTTGTTCAGCCGTTCTCCAATTGATGGGCATCTCCTTAATTTCCAATTCGTTGCCACCACAAAAAAAGGGCTGCCATAAATATTTTTGTACATGTGGGCCATTTCCCCCCCCTTTTTTAAATGATCTTTTTCAGATACATATCTAGTAATGGTACTGGATCAAAGTGTATGCACCCTTTTTTATAATTTTCTTTGGACGTAGTTCAGAATTGCTCTCCAGAAATGATTGTAGATCAGTTTGCAACTCTACCAACAATGCATTAGTGTTCCAGTTTTCCCATATCTTCTCCAATATTTATCATTTTCCTGTTTTGTCACATTAGACAATCTTATAGGTGTGATGTGGTACATGATGAGTCTTTCTGACCTCAGCCTGGGCACTCTATCCACTGTGCCACCAAGCTGCCCCAGTAAAGTCGTAATTGAAAATAAAACCAAACCATTATTCAAGGGATGTTGGTTTTGAAGACATTGACTTTTGCAGGAACAGTTTAGTATCCTTGAAAGTGCTTTAGTTTCCCAGATGCAAACCTTATCTAACTTATTTTCTATCTTCAGAACTTGTCTAAGATACACTTTTTACTAAAAAAAAAGTACTTTTACTAAAAAGGCACTACTTTTTAATGGGCCCACAAGGCAATTACATGTCAAAGTCTGAGCAGTATGGATTTTTCATCTAGAATTCTGGGTTTGGAGTCAAGAGGTCTAGTTACAATACTTCCTCAGACATTTACTTATATCTTGTACCATACTTATTTTTGTGACCCTGGGTAAGATCCAGAACTTCTTAGAGTCCCAGTTTCTTCTTCTATAAAATAGAGGCAAATTATTGTGGATTTCAGTGAGAGGCTTTGTCATGTTTTGGGGTTTAAGGCAAGTCTTAAGAATGATACTATAATAACTATTAGGGGCAAGTGGAATCAGGTCTATGATTTCATTGGTGTAGGGAAGACCTGACAGAAAAACTACCTTTACTAACATATATCAACAACTCTTCTGCAACATATAGTCTTAGAGAGTTACCTGAAAAATTGAGAAGTTAAGTGCCTCTCCAGAGGTCAAACAGCTGGTGTGTGCCAGAGCTAGAACCCAAACCCAAGTCTTCCTGACTCTCCATCCATTACACCATGCTTTTGTTGTTGTTCAGTCATTTTCATTTGTGTTCAACTCTTCATGACCCCATTTGGGGTTTTCTTGCCAAGATACTGGAGTGGTTTGCCATTTCCTTCTCCCACTCATTTTACAGATGAGGAAATGGAGACAAACAGGATTAAGTGACTTGCATAGAGTCCCACAGCTAGTAAGTATCTGAGGCCAGATTTGAACTCAGGAAGATGAGTCTTCCTAACTCCAAGCCTGGTTCTCTATTTGCAGCATCACCAAGCTGCCTGTATTATACCTTACTGCTTCGTCATAGTAATAGCTGGTATTTGTATACTGCCTTCAGATTTGCAAAGTAATTTCTATATGTTATCTCATTTGTTTTCACAACAAAGAAAGTGCTACAGGTAATTTTCCTGATTTTTCAGATGGGGAACTGAGACCTAGAGAGTTTGAGTGACTTAGCCAGGGTAGCATAGCAAGTAAATTTCAGAGGAGGGATTCAAACCCAGGTCTTCATGACGCCAAATCTTTTTCTATAACACACCCTCTTTTAGGATGTGAGTATATGGAGAACCTCACCATCACTAGGAACCTAGATTTAGACAGAGTTGGAAGGGACCTTGAAGATCACCACTTTGGGAGCAGCTAGGTGGAGTAGTAGATAGAGCACCTGCCCTGGAGTTAGGAGGACCTGAGTTCAAATGTGGCCTCAGACCAAACAACTTGACACTTACTAGCTGTATGACCCTGGGCAAGTCACTTAATCCCAACTGCCTAAAAATAAAAATAAATAAATGAAAGATCATCACTTTATTTTTTTTTCACATGAATCTTTTAATCCCCAAACCCAAAGGCTTTTCTACTCTACTTATTTTAAAGAGATTCATTTTCCCCTGTGGCATAGACAGAGATATACACAGATGTAGATATGTGCTTTGCGCATAATAAGTGTTTAATAATGGTTTTTCGTTCGTTCACAGACGTAGATATCAACATATAAACTTAATTTTTTTATGTATGCCTCCCATATGTTACTGAGAAGCTACTAGTGCTATAAAGATGGGCCATGGTAGAATTAGACTTTGTAGTGTTAGGGTGATACTTGCTCATTGGGTAGTCTCACCTCCAGAATGACTGTGTCTTTTTCAGATAGTTCATGACTAAGAGTGTCTGCATAGGCATTCCAACTTCTAGGTTACCCATCACTGAAGATGGCAGCCAGCCTTAGGCTATTTTAGATTCAAGTATATTCTTTTTTTTTTTTTAATATCCCTGCTGGGAAGGAAGGCTATTATCCATTTTGGCTGTGCCTGCTTTCAATCACTTCAACTTAGTGTTTCTTTTCATATTTAGATGTTTTTGTTTGTTTCTTTGTTAAGTCCTTCACCATTCTCAGCTAAAAGATTTTAATGACAGCAGGTTGGCATTACCATTCAGGATACAAACCCAAAATCCTCTGTGTGGTTTTTTTTTACTTTATATTGTCTGCACTTATTTATTTGTTCTTTTAAAAAAAATTTAGACAAATGCTAAAACTTAAATACATAATAAGAAAAGAAAAAGAAACATAAACTTAAATATAAAATAAGAAAAAACAAAAAATATCAACTAATTTTTCCCCCATAGAGCAGAAAGAGATGGATGCCATCTGGTCCAACAACCTCATTTTATAGATGAGGAATCTAACATCCTAAGAAGATGAATGAGTTGCCCAAAGTAATACATGTAGCATGTAGCGAGTTTCAATTTAATTCCAGGTCCTCTGACTCTAAACTCAATGCCCTTTCCATGGTACACATTCCCTTACTATATGCCTGTTGGCTACATAAAAAAACTATGCCTACTGGTGTAGGTCCTGAGCAGCATCTAGCAGAAGCCATCTTCTAGGGGAAAAATTTTGGCTTATTGGGTTGAGTGTTTACTGGATGGAACATAGCCTTTCACAGCAGCATCTGCCTTGGCTTTTCTGCCTCTCATTAACATAATTCCCCACTGTTATTCAAGCCACAGTTAGGAGATCTCACGCACATTTCACCTTGGACAGGCAGTCATAGTCCAGTGAGCTGGCCAAGTGGTTGAATCTCAGTTGCCCACACATGAACTCCCCCAAACATTACAGCTTGAAGCTTTTGGACTGGCCAGAAGCATGGAGAACATTGAAAATCCCCACCGCAGCTCTCCAAGACCCAAGTAGCAGTGAGTCGCTCATTTGATGGATTTCTTACTAACAACACAATTACCATCCTACGCATGAAGAGCAAAGTTTCTAAAAAATGTGAAATCAACCACTATTTAGTTGAACAGAAACAGATGCAACAAGTTGAAATTTAAAAAAAAAAACAACCAAAACCAACCCACAGTCTGAAGAAAGTATTAAGTGGGCCATCATAAGGCACTGTAATTTTGTAATTTTCTGCCTCTGTATTTCTCTCACCATAGAGCACACAGCACCCTCCCCACCCCCAATTATTTTGCAAAACCTTGGCTTGCAGCACGAGACATTTTTGGAGGCTTAACCTTGGTTTTTGTTCGGATAAGTGCATGTATCCCCAAATTCTGCTTATAACAGGCCGAGCCTCCTCTAGGATTCCTTCCATCTTCTCTACCCTCAAAATAATTTCTGTCTTGAAGGCATAAAGTTAGTGTAATTAAGTGATTAGTAGCAAATTATTTACAAAAGGAGGAACTTTTTCTCTTTGGAAAAAAAAGTTGTCGGAAAATATAGTTGTGCCCATCCTTTCAGGAATAATATCAATCCAATCCATTTAGGTCCAGTCAAACTCCTGCCATATGTCATTGTGTGTTGTGAAGGTTACAAAAGAGTGAATGTCATCATCTCTATCTTACCATCTATTGTTGGGTGAAGACTTGAATGCATGGAGGGAAATAAAAAAATCATATGATTAAGTGGTGCATTGGGAGTGACAGATGGCAATTACAGTAGGAGTTTGGGGGAAGGGTCTTTAGAGATCATTTAACCTACTCCCTTCATTCAGCAGGTCAGGAAACTAAGGCCCTGAAGGGGGAATTGATTTGCCCAAGATCACATAGCTGGCAAAAAGGAGAACAAAGACTCAAAATCAGATCCTAAGGCTTGACCTATCACTTTTTCTACCTGTAATAACATGATGCCCTTAATCTATGAGGTCATTCTCAGTTACTTGATGGCAACTAACATGCACACACACACACACACACACACACATGCATGTATATACACATGCATGTATGTTTGTGTGCAGGCATGTATAACCACACATATACATACATATATACAAACACATAAACATACATGTTTGTGTATAAACTCATGCATGCATATTCATACACATGCACATATACATATGCATATACACACATACGCAGGTATACTGATAAGTCATAGGAACATCAGCTATAACTGGAAGGAACCCTGGAGGTCGTCTAGTCCGCCTCCCAATTTTATAGATGAGATAACTGAGTTATAGGGTGATAAAATCATTTGCCCAAATCACACAGGTTTTAAGTGTCAGAGGTGGTATATGAAATCAAGTAGACCCCTCTTGGGGGTGATTATGTATCCAGCCCTCTGTTTACAGGGTAGAAGAGAACAGGGTATGGACTTCATTTGATACCTACTCCATCATGTTAATCTCAGTGTACATGTGTGTGTGTTTCTACATTGTTATTGTTTCAGCTCCAGGAGTCAGCTTCTAGAAAGAGTGTGGGAAGCTGATTTGGAAGCTTGTCAACTTTTGATCCGGGGCTTCCAGCTTCAAGAGGTCAGCAGCAGTGTTTCGGAAGGAGAGGAGATTCAGATAGACCGCTTCGAGATGGCCACCCCTGCTCCTGCCTCTGTCACCTCTCTCCTCCCGAGGCCCATTTCAGAAGATGAACTGAAACCCTTTTGTCAGCTGTCTGAGGAGAGGCAAACAACCCTGTACCCCACCATTCAGGGTGGTGGCTGTGAACAGAAAGAGGTACCCAGATTTGTCTAAGGGGCTTTCCCAAGGATGGAGTTTCCCCAGGAGCACCAGACTGTCATGATTCAGGTTGCCAAGTATAAGATGGGTTCTACACTGGGCTCTAAAAATCTGGTTCAAGCACATCTTTTTTTAAATTAAAATTTATTTATTATAAACCTAACAAAGATCAATCAATCACCAAGCATTTATTAAGCACCTACTATGTGCCAAACTTTGTGTTAGGTGCTAGACATATAAATAAATAGAAATGAAATTAAATAGGAATGGAGAAGAAACAATCCTGTCCTCAAGGTGTTCATATTATAATCAGGGAGACAATAAGGATATATGCATATACACACATATATGCATATATATGTGTGTCTGTATATACACAAAATATATACATATGTATGTATATATGTATATGTACGCATGTGTATATATATGTAGATACACATATGTGTATATATAAAATGTATACACATTTATGTGTGTATATGTGTATTGCTATACACACACATATATGTGTATATACCTACTTATATATATTATACTTACTTATGTATGTATATACATAATAAATCCTAGGTCCTTAAATATAAGGTAGTTAAAGAGTGAGGGCACTAGCATTTGGGGAGATCAGAAAAGACTCCATTTGGGAGGTGGTGCTTGAACTGTTTCTTGAAAGAAGAGAGGTGAAGTTGGAGAATCCCTCAGGCATGTACAGCATCTAGTAGCAAGGTCCAGAGATGAGAGATGGAGTGTCATGCATAAGAAACAAAGAGAAGGGACAGCGAGGTGGTACAGTTGATACAGGAGCAGCCCTGGAGTCAGGAGGACCTGAGTTCAAATCCAGCCTCAGACACTTATCGGCTATGTGACCCTGGGCAAGTCATTTAACCCTGCTTGCCTCCCTAAAGACCTCAAAACAAAACAGACAACACTGAAGGCTAGTCTGGCCTCTTTTTTTGAGAGGGGTGAAATTAATATCCACTGAGGATGGAAAGGTTGCTTAGAGTCAAATTCTGAAGGGTTATAAAAGCCAATTGGAAGAGTTGGTATTTTATCCTAAAGGAAATAGGGAGCCACTGGAATTAATTGAGTATGGGAAGTGGCGTGGTTGTATCTTTGTTAAAAAAGTATCATCCACCTCAACAGTCATTAACCTCTGCTTATACAAAGAAGAACAGAAAAAGAAATGTATGTGAAACTAGAAATCTCTATATTGTACAGCTTGTTTTTAAGTATATTTTAAATTTAATATGTTCTGCTCATCTGTGACCCCCTCTGAACTTGTTTCTGCTCTCTTTTGTGTATTTTTAAATGTTTCATTGGTCTTTACTGTCTTCCTTTTTTAATCACTCTCATTCCCCATTTCTTCCCCAAACAACTTTTCCCTTCCACCATATTGAAGCCTTTCATTGTAACAAATATGTGTAGTTAAGCAGAACAAATTCATATTTCATCCTTATCTGAAAATACATGTTTCATTCAGCTCCCGTAGCCCTTCACTTCATATCTGAGAGGTGGGAATGATTTTATCATCAAACTTCTGGTAATTGCATTCATCAGAGTTCTTCAGGCACATCTTTTGATTATCCTGAATGTATGTTTTTAGGAAAATTGAAGCTTGGATTCATATAATCTTTACTCTGTTTTAGATGAAAGAGAAAGCATTTCCCTCTACCTTCCCTTTCTCCTCCCACCATGTGAATCTTTAAATGAACAGGCTGCTGGAGTGTCTTCCAATTTCAGTGCCATGATGAGAAGATCCCTAGCTCTCCTCTGGCTGTATTCCTAGGGTTTTTTGTGTATTAAGGGGTGGGGAAGGGCGTGTGGTGAGGCTAAAAGAAACACACTTTTAATGTGTTGCTTTTGATATTGGATATGCTGATTCACTCAAAACATTTACAATCAACCAGTGATCAAATTCATAAACAATAAGTAAGCAAGATGCTGAGTAAGGCCTATCACATCACAGCCCTGCCTTGCATGTGGGACAAGCGACTTTTCAAAGGTGCTTTTATATATATATATATATATATATATATATATATATATATATATACATATATGTATGTATATGTATGTGTATATATGTTTATTTATTTAATGAAGCAGATACTGATAGAAATTAAAGGTGTGCTTAAAGGGAGTGTGATTTTCACAGGCATTGCATTCAGCCATTGGAAAATGAATACCCGATTGTGACTTAATTTTGCAAGAAAGTCAACCATTATTACACTCTGCAATCCCTGATGACTTAATAAAATTACACTCTAAATTGAGCTACAGACAACTTCAATTTTTTTTGTTACCTGAGTTATTGAAGTCCCCATTCATTCGAGGCTTGGTCACTTCACCGTTTGTCTAATACACTCTTGGCAGGTGGCACTTGTGGCTGTTGTGATAGATTAAAATAAGCCCTGTAAAGGAAAGAAAGCCTTTGAGGGCTCACATAGATAGAGTGGAGAAGCACCCTAAACAAGTGGGGCACTTACTAGGAATCCATCGAAAGGATCGGAGGTCATGGTGAGCAAAACGAGAGGGGACTGCAATATTAAGTTTGAGACCATGGGAGGTCACAGCATTGTTCAACTAAAAGTAGGGTCAAGTCTCTAGAGTTTTGTCCTATTCTGCAAAGAAACAGAATAGAATAGTATAATTAAAAGAAGACTGGAATTGGCTTAGGAGCTTATTGAGCACCTACTATGTTTCAGACATTGTTCTAGGTGCTGGGTTGGAAATACAAAAGAGAGGACAGTTCCTGCCCTCAAGAAGTTTACAGTCAGTTGATAAACATTTATATAGCATCTCTTCACCACACTGTGCTGAGAGCTTGGGAAGACAAATAAGAAAAAGAAAGGTCTTACCTTCAAGGAGCTTACAATCTAGTGAGGAAAGGCAGTACCCAAAAGGAAACTGAAAAGTGGGTAGTGAGAGAGGCACCCAGCTCAACTGCATAAGGAGAAGTTCAAAGAATACAGACTGGTGGGAAATGGAGAGATGGCTGGCCTGAGTGTCCTTCTTAAATGGAGGTTTGGGGAAGAACTCCTTGTTCTGCCTTCCAATCAGAGGGCCAGAGGGCACTGATGAGGTATGAGGTATGAGTACCAAGGCTGAATCCTTCAGGGTGACAAGGTTCTGGGGGATGTGATGGAGAAAGCCAAAGGAGGGCAGCTGGGTAGGAAATGATATACCACTGTAACTGCCACCTGAAGTTCTGGGGAGGGTATGAGAAAGAGTTCCCTTCCCTCATAGGGCACAAGGGAAGGGCTATGTCTGGGGGAGGTTTTAGCTGTTATAAGCCTCTCAGAAGCTTTCATATTCTCTACGGCTTGTTTCCGTCTAAGACCAGCAGAGCTAAAAAGTGGAGGAATGGAAATGACAAATAAGAGAAACATTGAATAATGGAATTTGTATTTGGCTCATGGGATTTTAAAACACTCAAGAAAAGGAAGGAAAATGACAGCCAGAGGCCTCATTCTAAAGCTGTTCTTGCTCTTCATTCAAATATTTAGAAATAAGCATTTGGTCAGTGAAACCTGGGCACTCAAGGGTGGCCTTTTGGCTAAAATGTCTGTGAAGTTTTCTACTTAAATACAGCTCAAGTCAGCTCCCTGGTGGGGATGGCACCCCAGTTTTCTTTTCAAAAGGTTATGGCTGGAAAGCTTGTCTCAAACCTTCCAGGAAATGAGTTGATTCTTGTATGGGATTTCCTAAGGGAACTAAGCTTCCCTTGGCTTGACTACTTTGGGAGACAGCTTGATGTAGCTGGAATCTGGCAGAGGATTTTGGATTGAATCCAAGCTGGCTCTGCCATTCCATTCTGTGTGGTCATGGACAATTCATTAAACCTTTCTGGGTCTCAGCTTCATCATTTGTGAAAAGGGGTTGTGGTTTCATCATGTGGTTTACCCATCAGGGTAAAGAAGATCCAGATTCAGGTCTTTCATCTGTCTCTTGTAGGCTATGTGAACTGGGGTTAGTTTTATAACCTTTTAGTGCCTCCCACTCTCTAAGACCCAAAGTTGCTAAGTGGGTGCTGATTTGCATTGATAGAAGGAGTCCTAAAACAAGGAACTCCCTATAGTAATGAAATTACAGGTCTAAAACCAAACAAAAATAAATACATGTGTATACATGTATGTGCATATATTTATATATGTTGCCCCAAAATAATTTAAAACATATTTAGATTTTTTGTGTCTGATATATATGTGTGTACACACATGTATACATATAGAACATTTTATATACATGTATAATTAAATGCTATATTATATATATGTATATTATATGATAGAAGAAGAAAAGGGGGAAGAAACAGAGAAAGTTTTTCTTTAATTGCAGTTTCTCTTTCCTTTTCGATTTAAAGTCTTTTAGATTAGATTTAAAGATTATAGGCAAATATATTTTTACCATCCCTTGATACTTTACTCTATCTCTTACCAAGAGCCCATTATTCCTATATTTTAATCTGTCACTCCAAAAAAACCTCGTTTTCAAACCTCAGTCTTCTAAACTAGATCTTAACTTCCAAAATCTGCTCTCCCTTTCCGAAGACATTGTCTTAAATTGTTAGCAGAGACAAAAACCTTTTCCCTTAAGGTCTTCAGTTTCTTTTCAAGACTTTGTAAACCTTAGTGCTACATCTGTAATATTCCCAGAGTTTAAAGGTAAAACAGGTTAGGAGTGAATGGGGATCAGCTCAGTCTGATACATATTGAGTTGGAGATTGAGTTGATGGGGCATCCGTGCAGAACAGCCCAAAAGGCGGCTAGTGATGCAGTGCTGGAGTTCTAGAGGGAGGTTAGAGCTGGATATATAAGTTTTCAGAGTTATCTGCATAGAGATGACGTCTACAGAAGCAGATAAGAGCGTCATGGAAGAAAGTATAGAAAGAACAGAGAACCCAAGGCAGATTCTTGGAAGTCACCTGTGTGAAGGATGGGGGAGAACCAAGAGAGAATAATGTCTAAGAAGCCAAGGTAAGTGCCCTGGTAGAGGGA